GACCACTACGACAAGTCCTGAATGCACTAGAAGACAAAAAGAATGCAGATGTAATATATACAGACTTTGCAAAAGCCTTCGACAAGTGTGACCATGGCGTAATAGCGCACAAAATGCGTGCTAAAGGAATAACAGGAAAAGTCGGTCGATGGATCTATAATTTCCTCACTAACAGAACACAGAGAGTAGTCGTCAACAGAGTAAAGTCCGAGGCAGCTACGGTGAAAAGCTCTGTTCCACAAGGCACAGTTACTCGCTCCCATCTTGTTCCTCATCCTTATATCCGACATAGACAAGGATGTCAGCCACAGCACCGTGTCTTCCTTTGCAGATGACACCCGAATCTGCATGACAGTGTCTTCCATTGCAGACACTGCAAAGCTCCAGGCAGACATCAACCAAATCTTTCAGTGGGCTGCAGAAAACAATATGAAGTTCAACGATGAGAAATTTCAATTACTCAGATATGGTAAACATGAGGAAATTAAATCTTCATCAGAGTACAAAACAAATTCTGGCACAAAATAGAGCGAAACACCAACGTCAAAGACCTGGGAGTGATCATGTCGGAGGATCTCACCTTCAAGGACCATAACATTGTATCAATCGCATCTGCTAGAAAAATGACAGGATGGATAATGAGAACCTTCAAAACTAGGGAGGCCAAGCCCATGATGACACTCTTCAGGTCACTTGTTTATCTAGGCTGGAATATTGCTGCACACTAACAGCACCTTTCAAGGCAGGTGAAATTGCCGACCTAGAAAATGTACAGAGAACTTTCACGGCGCGCAAAAACGGAGATAAAACACCTCAATTATTGGGAGCGCTTGAGGTTCCTAAACCTGTATTCCCTGGAACGCAGGAGGGAGAGATACATGATTATATAACCTGGAAAATCCTAGAGGGACTAGTACCGAACTTGCACACGAAAATCACCCACTACGAAAGCAAAAGACTTGCAACGATGCACCATCCCCCAATGAAAAGCAGGGGTGTAAACTAGCACGTTAAGAGACCATACAATAATTTGTCAGGGGCCCGAGACGGGTTCAACTCCCTCCCAGCACACATAAGGGGGATTACCAACAGACCCCGGGCAGTCTTCAAGCTGGCACTGGACAAGCACCTAAAGTCAGTTCCGGATCACCCGGGGCTGTGGCTCGTATGTTGGTTTGCGTGCAGCCAGCAGCAACAGCCTGGTTGATCAGGCTCTGATCCACCAGGAGGCCTGGTCTCAGACCGGGCCGCGGGGGCGTTGACCCCCGGAACTCTCTCCAGGTAAACTCCAGGTAAACCACCCACAGGATGGTATGGTGATTTACCACCCACAGGATGGTAGTGTGACTACCACCAACAGGATGGGTATTTTGTGATTACCACCCACAGGATGGGTATGGTGTAACCACCACCCACAGGATGGGTATTTTGTGATTACCACCCACAGGATGGGTATTTTGTGACTACCACCCACAGGATGGGTATGGTGTGACTACCACCCACAGGATTGGTATGGTGTGACTACCACCCACAGGATGAGCATGGTGTGACTACCACCCACAGGATGGGTATTTTGTGACTGCCACCCACAGGATGGGTATTTTGTGACTAACACCCACAGGATGGGTATAGTGTGACTACCACCCACAGGATGGGTATGGCATGACTACCACCCACAGGATGGGTATTTTGTGACTACCACCCACAGGATGGGTATGGTGTGACTACCACCCGCAGGATGGGTATGGTGTGACTACCACCCACAGGATGGGTATTTTGTGACTACCGCCCACAGGTTGGGTATGGTGTGACTACCACCCACAGGATGGGTATGGTGTGACTGCCACCCACATGATGGGTATGGTGTGACTACCACCCACAGGATGAGTATGGTGTGACTACCATCCACAGGATGGGTATGGTGTGACTACCACCCACAGGATGGGTATGGTGTGACTACCATCCACAGGATGGGTATGGTGTGACTACCACCCACAGGATGGGTATGGTGTGACTAGCACCCACGGAATGGGTATTTTGTGACTACCACCCACAGGATGGTATGGTGTGACTACCACCCACAGGATGGGTAGTGTGACTACCACCAACAGGATGGGTATGGCGTGACTACCACCCACAGGATGGGTATGGTGTAACCACCACCCACAGGATGGGTATTTTGTGATTACCACCCACAGGATGGGTATGGTGTGACTACCACCCACAGGATGGGTATGGTGTGACTACCACCCACAGGATGGGTATGGTGTGACTACCACCCACAGGATGGGTATGGTGACTACCACCCACATGATGGGTATGGTGTGACTACCACCCACAGGATGGGTATGGTGTGACTACCATCTACAGGATGGGTATGGTGTGACTACCACCCACATGATGGGTATGGTGTGACTACCACCCACAGGATGGGTATGGTGTGACTACCACCCACAGGATGGGTATGGTGTGACTACCACCCACAGGAGAGGTATGGTGTGACTACCACCCACAGGATGGGTATGGTGTGACTACCACCCACAGGATGGGTATGGTGTGACTACCACCCACAGGATGGGTATGGTGTGCATAATAAATATATTAAACTAAACTAAGTGGCCAGACATACTGTACATGTCATTAACAAATGTCAATCTCTAATAACTATTTGTAGATATAAAGATGGCAGTAATATTGTGTTGTGAGAGGTACCTGGTGTGTGTGAATATTGTTGTGAGAGGACTGGTGTGTTTGATATTGTTTGAGAGGTCCTGGTGTGTGTGTGTGAAGTATGGTGTGTGTGAGAGGTCCTGGTGTGTGTGAATATTGTTGTGAGAGGTACCTGGTGTGTGTGTGAATATTGTTGTGAGAGGTTCCTGGTGTGTGTGTGAATATTGTTGTGAGAGGTACCTGGTGTGTGTGTGAATATTGTTGTGAGAGGTCCTGGTGTGTGTGTGAATATGTTGTGAGAGGTTCCTGTGTGTGTGTGAATATTGTTGTGAGAGGTCCTGGTGTGTGTGAATATTGTTGTGAGAGGTCCTGGTGTGTGTGAAATATTGTTGTGAGGGTACCTGGTGTGTGTGAATATTGTTGTGAGAGGTACCTGGTGTGTGTGAATATTGTTGTGAGAGGTACCTGGTGTGTGTGAATATTGTTGTGAGAGGTACCTGGTGTGTGTGTGAATATTGTTGTGAGAGGTACCTGGTGTGTGTGTGAATATTGTTGTGAGAGGTACCTGGTGTGTGTGAATATTGTTGTGAGAGGTACCTGGTGTGTGAATATTGTTGTGAGAGGTACCTGGTGTGTGTGTGAATATTGTGAGAGGTACCTGGTGTGTGTGAAATATTGTTGTGAGAGTACCTGGTGTGTGTGTGAATATTGTTGTGAGAGGTACCTGGTGTGTTGTGAATATGTGTTGTGATAGGTACCTGGTGTGTGTGAATATTGTTGTGAGAGGTACCTGGTAGTGTGTGAATATTGTTGTGAGAGGTACCTGGTGTGTGTGAATATTGTTGTGAGAGGTACCTGGTGTGTGTGAATATTGTTGTGAGAGGTACCTGGTGTGTGTGTGAATATTGTGAGAGGTACCTGGTGTGTGTGAATATTGTTGTGAGAGGTACCTGGTGTGTGTGTGAATATTGTTGTGAGAGGTACCTGGTGTGTGTGAATATTGTTGTGAGAGGTACCTGGTGTGTGTGTGATATTGTTGTGAGAGGTACCTGGTGTGTGGAATATTGTTGTGAGAGGTACCTGGTGTGTGTGAATATTGTTGTGAGAGTACCTGGTGTGTTGTGTGAAATGTTGTTGTGGAGAGGTACCTGTGTGTGTGTGAATATTGTTGTGAGAGGTACCTGGTGTGTGTGAATATTGTTGTGAGAGGTACCTGGTGTGTGTGAATATTGTTGTGAGAGGTACCTGGTGTGTGTGAATATTGTTGTGAGAGGTACCTGGTGTGTGTGAATATTGTTGTGAGAGGTACCTGGTGTGTGTGAATATTGTTGTGAGAGGTACCTGGTGTGTGTGTGAATATTGTTGTGAGAGGCACCTGGTGTGTGTGAATATTGTTGTGAGAGGTACCTGGTGTGTGTGTGAATATTGTTGTGAGAGGCACCTGGTGTGTGTGAATATTGTTGTGAGAGGTACCTGGTGTGTGTGTGAATATTGTTGTGACAGGTACCTGGTGTGTGTGAATATTGTTGTGAGAGGTACCTGGTGTGTGTGTGAATATTGTTGTGAGAGGTACCTGGTGTGTGTGAATATTGTTGTGAGAGGTAGCTGGTGTGTGTGAATATTGTTGTGAGAGGTACCTGGTGTGTGTGAATATTGTTGTGAGAGGTACCTGGTGTGTGTGAATATTGTTGTGAGAGGTACCTGGTGTGTGTGAATATTGTTGTGAGAGGTACCTGGTGTGTGTGAATATTGTTGTGAGAGGTGCCTGGTGTGTGTGTGAATATTGTTGTGAGAGGCACCTGGCGTGTGTGTGAATATTGTTGTGAGAGGCACCTGGTGTGTGTGAATATTGTTGTGAGAGGTGCCTGGTGTGTGTGTGAATATTGTTGTGAGAGGTACCTGGTGTGTGTGAATATTGTTGTGAGAGGTACCTGGTGTGTGTGAATATTGTTGTGAGAGGCACCTGGTGTGTGTGTGAATATTGTTGTGAGAGGTACCTGGTGTGTGTGAATATTGTTGTGAGAGGTACCTGGTGTGTGTGAATATTGTTGTGAGAGGCACCTGGTGTGTGAATATTGTTGTGAGAGGCACCTGGTGTGTGAATATTGTTGTGAGAGGCACCTGGTGTGTGAATATTGTTGTGAGAGGTACCTGGTGTGTGTGAATATTGTGAGAGGTACCTGGTGTGTGTGAATATTGTTGTGAGAGGTACCTGGTGTGTGTGAATATTGTTGTGAGAGGCACCTGGTGTGTGTGAATATTGTTGTGAGAGGCACCTGGTGTGTGTGAATATTGTTGTGAGAGGTACCTGGTGTGTGTGAATATTGTTGTGAGAGGCACCTGGTGTGTGTGAATATTGTTGTGAGAGGCACCTGGTGTGTGTGAGAGTTGTTGATCGTCAGTAATGTAAACAAACAATGGAAGGTGATGAAGGTAGTGAAGAGTCTCTGGTACATCATCAAGAACAACAACAACAACATGAACAAGACATTAAAGCACCACAACACAAGAAGAGTAAGTTCTTCTTTCTACTTTAAGACACAAAACAAGGTGATGAAAGACGTAGCAGCCAGAGCTGTGCTCCAGGACCTTAGTGGAACTTAACTCACTTTGCCTGAACTTTGTCTGGGTTAACCTAGATAATTTACACCTATGTTAATATCTGCTGTATAGCCCTTGTGGCTTAGCGCTTCTTTTTGATTATAATAATAATAATAATATGTTAATATCTATGTTAATATTTATGATGTGTACCTATGCCTAAATAAACTTACTTAAGAAAATAGTCACTTTGCCTGATCTTTTTGGGTTATCTTGGGTAATTTACACACATTATTATATATGATTATTGTAATCACCTAAATTTGCATAATTGTACTTATGTGTACCTGTACCTAAATAAACTTACTTTAATTTTAAATCAGTTCATCAGTATCAGTTACCAAGGTTGATACTATCGATGGGAATAAGTCACTTATTTTGACTTTTTCTATTAGGTTGTTTTTCTACAAAATTTTAATTTTGTTACTATGTAAAATAACTCTGTTAATCTATATCTGTTCAACTGTACCTACATAAATTTACTTAACATCTATTGCTATCCATTTATAATAATAATAATAATAATAATAATAATAATAATAATAATAATAATAATAATATAATAATATATTAATATCTTTATTTCTACCAGTACATGTATAAGGTATACACACCATAGCTTACATCAATGACATACTACTATATATGGAAAGTCCCTTGTTATGCAGAGCATTTCCCGAAAATTAGGTCAATTTTGACAGCCAAGAATTACTAAAGTTCCAATAGAACTCAGTGTTCAGTGAGCCGCTGCCCAGTCTAAGGGTCGACAATCAAATGAATTCTTTATGAACAAGACCCAAAATTTGATCATTTAAAAAATCTCGGATATTATCCTAAAACCACAAGACTTTGAAAGGCAATAAATGACATGCCCATGCACTCTGCTCCAGGCCCAGACTCATGGAACTCTGTGTTCATCAAGAACTGAAAGAAGCCCCTGTCACGTGCCTTCAGCATTTTATGGAGAGGGAACATGGACACGGGTCATCCCACACTCACTAAAAACAACAGACAAAGGAGGCAGTAAACCAACTGCAAAGAACTACAGACCGATAACACTAACATCCCTTATCATAAAAATCTTTGAGAGGGTTCTAAGAAGCAAGATCACCACCCATCTAGATGCCCATCAATTACACAACCCAGGGCAACATGGGTTTAGAGCAGGTCACTCCTGTCTGCCCCAACTACTGGACCACTATGACAAGGTCTTGGATGCTGTTGAAGATAAACAAAATACAGATGTAATATACACAGACTTTGCAAAAACTTTTGACAAGTGTGACCATGGTGTAATAGCGCACAAAATGCATGATAAAGGAATAACAGGAAAAGTTGGTAGATGGATCTATAACTTCCTGACAAATGAACACAAAGGGTAAAAATAAACAGAGTAAAGTCAGCGGCAGTTACAGTGAAAAGTTCTGTTCCAAAAGGCACAGTACTTGCTCCAATTCTATTCCTCATCCTCATATCTGACATAGACAGAGATTTAAGCCATAGCTCAATGTCTTCCTTTGCAGATGACACCCAGATTGTCATGACAGTGACCTCCATCGAAGACACCGCGAGACTCCAAGCGAACATCAACCAAATCTTAAAATGAACCACTCAAAACAATATGAAGTTCAATGAAGATAAATTTCAACAACTCAGATATGAAAAAAATTCAGGAAATTAAAACTGTATCAGGGTATACAACAAATTCTAACCATACAATAGACTGAAAAAGTGATATGAAGGACCTCGGAGTGATAATGTCAGAGGATCTCGCCTTCAAAGACCACAACAATGTATCTACTTCATCTGCTAGGAATATGATGGGATGGATAATGATAACCTTCAAAACTAGGGACACCAAGCCCATGATGATTCTCTTCAAATCACTTGTTCTCTCTAGCTGAAATACTGCTGTACACTAACTGCCCCCTTCAAGGCTGGCGAAATTGCCGACCTGGAGAGTGTACAAAGAATTTTCATGGCACGCATAACTTCGATAAAGCACCTTAATTACTGGGAACGCTTGAAGTTCCTAAACCTGTACTCCCTAGAATGCAGGCAGGAGAGAGACATGATTATATACACTTGGAAAATCGTAGAGGGATTAGTACCAAACTTGCACATGAAAATCACTCCCTACGAAAGCAAAAGACTCAGCAGATGATGCAACGTCCCCCCAATGAATTGCAGGGGTGCCACTAGCACAATAAGAGACAACACAATTAGTGTGAGGGGCCCAAGACCATTCAACTGCCTCCAAGCATACATAAGGGGATTACCAATAGACCCCTGGCTGTCTTCAAGCAGGCACTGGACAGGCACCTAGTCAGTACCTGACCAGCCGGGCTGTGGGTAATACGTTGGACTGCGTGCGGCTAGCATTAATGGCCTGGTTGATCAGGCCAGGGTCCACCATGAAGCCTGGTCAAAGACCGGGCTGCAGGGGCATTGACCCCTGGAACTCTCTCCAGGTATACTACCTATGAGTTGTGGTTAAAAGCAGATACCAGTGGCACAGCAATGGGGAGGGTAAGATAAGAGATAAGATTTTGTTTAGATTTTTAACCCCAGAAGGTTGGTCACCCAGGATAACCCAAGAAGGTCAGTGCGTCATCGAGGACTGTCCATCTTATTTCCATTGGGGTCCTTCAATCTTCTCCCCCCAGGATGTGACCCACTCCAGTCGACTAACACCCAGATACCTACTTGCTTCTTAGGCGAATGGGGGATAGCATGTGTAAGGAAACATGCTCAGTATTTCCACCCGGCTGAGGATTGACTACGGACACTTAGTGTGTGTGAGGCAAGAGCATTGCCTACCAGGCCATGGGAGGCTAATGAGACTGTATGAGTTGTATCATGTACTTGTAGAAATAATAATAATAATAATTATTATTATTATTATTATTATTATTATTATTATTATTATTATTATTATTATTATTATTATTATTATTATTATTATTATGCCCCCTCCCCTCAAATTCAAGAACTTTTTATTTTATTTTTTCCATAATGGCTAAATTTCACTGTATTATATTGACCAGTGACCATGAAAGCACAAAAGTTTAAGTAAGTTCTCATACATATATAAAATCAGATTTTTAAAAACTATTTCTTGGATGTTTATTATGATTTTTAAGCCTCCAGGTTGAAATCCTGGCTAAGCCCCCAAGTTCAAGTTTCCACTTCAACAAAAGAACAAGACTTTTGTAGCTAGTTTGATACTTCCCAGCTCAGTGTAATATTGTGAAATAGAAACTTGTTAAACTTTTGTAGTTTTGTACTCTGGTATGTTTTTTTCTAATCTTTTCTTTTGTTTCATGGACATTGAATTTGACACATAAATTGTTCATGACTTGGTTGGTAGCATCCTCAGCTCACACAATGAGGGACTAGGATTGATTCCTGGCATGAGTGAAATGTTAGGCAGGTTTCTATACACCTGCTGCCTTTGTTCACCTAGCAGTAAGTAGGTACCTGAATGTTAGCTCACTGCTGTGGGTTGCATCCTGGGGGAAAGATTAAAGTACCCCAATGGAAATAAGACAGACAGTCTCCCATGATGCGCTGACTTCATTGGGTTATCCTGGTTGTCTAACCCTCAAGTTTAAAAATCCTAACAAAATCTTATCTTACAGTATACACATTACTTTTCTATGTGATTTTTAGTAGTACTTATTCCTATAATATTTATTTTCCAATGTACAGTAGGCACAGCCTGAGACTGGAGTATGAGTGAGATAATCTACAGAACCACTTCACAGATAAGTTTAGAAATCTAATATGATTAATTAAGTAAGGGGTTTGCTAATGAAGCTAGTAATAGCAAGAAGCAATAGACACATCTTCAAGAAAAATAATGCATAGAATTCTAACATTATTATTACTATTGTTATCGTAGTACAGTGGACCCCCGCTTAACGATCCCCTCCAAATGCGACTAATTATGTAAGTGTATTTATGTAAGTGCTTTTGTACATGTATGTTTGGGGGTCTGAAATGGACTAATCTACTTCACAATATTCCTTATGGGAAAAAATTCGGTCAGTACTGGCACCTGAACATACTACTGGAATGAAAAAAGTTCGTTAACCGGGGGTCCACTGTATTACCTATATTCCTTAACCTTATAAAAGTTTGTACAAGCTTAAGTTCTGCCTAAAATGCTGCACAAATTATTGGACTTTTCAAATACGGTAGCACAGTACCGATGCAGTTCTTTCCAAATCCTTACAAAATTGCCATAATTACTGTTCAAAAAAGTCAGGAAACATTAATTATAATTATTAATTATCTTTTGAGTGCTATTTCTAAAATCCTAAAGAGGACAATATGTACTAGGTAGACTATGTGTTCAAGTGTAAGAGTATTTTAATGAGAATATCCTTCATGGTAAGGGTAGGACAATATCAGATTTTTTGTTGAAAATGAGTCTGATGGTCAGTTTAAGTCTGATACTGAAACCATAAAAATTAGCCAGTATCCTTCAATACTGGCACCCATACTATTAGCACTGACCTTCATCACAGTTACCATACCAGTTTTAAGGGAGTTTATTCAGCTCACATCTACAGTATTCAGTTTTTTTGTATGAATCTTACTAGGACCCAAATATTGGAAGGGAATATTACTATGATGATAACCTAACAATACAAAATGCTTTTTGTATTGTGAATCATGATATGCTGTTTCTATAAAACTGCAAGGTATTGTATAGAATCTATAGACTGTTTCAAATCTTACTTGAACAATGGGAAATATTGTTAATGCTAATATAGTCACACATTAATTTAGAATCATTGAGACCAGGAACTTTCTCTTATTTAAAATTTTCCAGATTCAAGCAAGGAGTAACAGTAGCAATAATAGCTATAACTGATTGCACTCAGTAGACTAGTGGTTGATACTGTACACGTGTATTATTCAAGCGTATAAAATTTATGTAACTCTACAAAAAATTCTTAATTTTCCAAACTGAAACATGTAGAAAAGTGTTATAGATTATTTAAGCATTTATAAGTAAAAGTACTGTAGTGGGAAATGTAGAAAGGAAGATGAGCCAGTTTAAACAGTTGTCAGTCGCTGTACAGCTACCTAAGAATAAAGTTCCAGTATCATAAAAGGAAAGAATCAGAATATCAGACTTAATTGGTTAGATTCACTAGTCAAATGCTTCAATTTCAGATGTTGTTCACAAACTTATGGGACTGGTAAGGGACTGGAAAATTTCACAGAACATGTGTAGATGAGAACTCTTTCCAATTAAAAGTACAGTGGTTGCACTTGTGCATTGAGTTGCATTAGCTGACACACACTAATGCAGATGCAGAGTAATAGGTGTCTTGCTATGATGTAAGTGCAAAATAATGGGTGTCTTGCTATGATGCAGGTTCAAGGTAATGGGTGTCTTGCTATGATGTAAGTGCAAAATAATGGGTGTCTTGCTATGATGCAGGTTCTAGGTAATGGGTGTCTTGCTATGATGTAGTGCAAAATAATGGGTGTCTTGCTATGATGCAGGTTCAAGGTAATGGGTGTTTTGCTATGATGTAGGTGCAAAATAATGGGTATCTTGTTATGGTTTGAGAGTGCTGGAAATCTTTTCATGATGTAGGAGTGTGGATGGGGGTGGATGCTGATCACAGGATACATTTTGTTTCTGGTTTTAACACTTGTCATCTCCCACCAGTCAGGTGTCCCATAAAAGAGGAAGTGCTTCCCATTCCATAGCTGTTTTTGTGGAACAAAGTACTGTATTTATTTGTTTATTTTATGTGAAGCAGTATCCCTTTGAATTTGCAAAAGTGTGCATATTGGAAAAAATAAAATTGAGGACTGGGCCATGGGGGCACTGACCCCCAAAAAACCTCTAGAGAGGCAAGATCATGGCAGGGTTGTATTCTCAGTGTGTTTTAAGAATGCAGTTCATGACAGGAAAATTGTATTCAGTTTAATGCTTATCTAGGAAGTTCATCATATGATTTCTAGAAGTACAGTATATGTATGAAGAATGAGATACTTATGTAGCATTTGGGAATCTTTATTGTGGAAACCTTTTGCTAGTTATTGGCTTCTTCAGTCCAATACAGAGAATAACAGTGGAAGATGAACTGAAGATGCTACTGGCAGGTGAAACATTTCATTAGTAAAGATTCCCAGATATTGCACAAGTGTCTCATTCTTCAACATGTCCATTTTCAAAACCACTTTCATTACCTAACAGTATATTATTTTCAGTTGATGTCTTGCTAAAAGCAACTGGTGATGCTCCCATCATGAAGAAGAAGAAATGGGCAGTAGAAGGTGAGAAGCCAGTTGGATGGATCGCTGAGTTCATCCGCAAATACCTGAAGATGGACTTGAGTGACACTTTGGTAAGTTTTCACAAGACATAAGTTAATTGTTTGCATCCTTTAGAAAGACATTTCTTGATGTTTAGCCATATCATCCTTAAAGCAAAACACTTAGTTTATCAGTAACATGAGGTATTCTTTTAAAATGATACAGTGGTACCTCGAGTTTCGAACAGCTCCCATCTCGAACAATTATGTAAGTGCATTTTTGTAAGTTCTTTTGTAAGTGTATTTTTGGGGGCCTGAAATGGACTAATCTAATTTACTTTATTCCTTATGGGAACAAATTTGTTCAGTATCAGCTCTCGAATAGCCTGGAACAAATTAAGTTTAACTCGAGGTACCACTGTAACTTTGAAAGTCTGTACGTAGTTTAAAAAAATTCTCTTTCCAAAACATTGTTATCTATCATGTATCTACCAATTTACCTATTATCCAATTACATGAGCTGAAACAGTGACCTCAAGTCAGTCAGCTTTGATTTAAGTATCATTATCCAAGTTAACAGTGTGAACAACAAATTCTCTAAGTGTATGCATGTTGGTTTCTCATTGAAATCAAAGTACAGTGGATCCCCGCTTAACGATATTTTTTCACTCCATGAGTATGTTCAGGTGCCAGTACTGACCGAATTTATTCCCATAAGGAATATTGTGAAGTAGATTAGTCCATTTCAGACCCCCAAACATACACGTACAAACGCACTTACATAAATACACTTACATAATTGGTCGCATTCGGAGGTAATCGTTATGCGGGGGTCCACTGTACTTATTCAATAATCCTAACCAATTAACTCAAAATTGTTGTGAAATGAAGCCGAATATTTTTTACAGAGGCAGTTTTGTATTACAGTACTGTGTAATGAAAACAAAAAAAGTGATATCAGCAGGGATCTGATACCGAGGCAAAGAGGAAAATATGAGTGAATTATGAATAAGACAACAATAAGGGATGAGTGAATTGGATATAAAGTGAATCACATCTTGTTTTTGACTAATTTTTTCAGCAATAATCCTCATTGTAAAAATGTGATTCACAGATACATTAACTTATAAAGTCTGACAGTTTCTTCACTTGCCATTAATGATCAATTTTTGTGTGTGTGTGTGGTTGTACTGCACTGTCTTGTTTATGGAATACATAACTGTACAGTCAGTAATACATTTAAGTACAGTACATAGCTGACCTTGTTAAGTAAAAGAATGATGACTAGTTTTTATAAAAATCAAATGTTATGGACTATACATTTTCATGAATAATTCTCTACTTTTTTAATAGTTTGTGTATGTAAACCAAAGCTTTGCACCAGCACCTGACCACATCGTCAGGAACCTGTACGAGTGCTTCGGATCAGATGGCAAGCTAGTTCTTCATTACTGCAAGACGCAAGCTTGGGGGTGATACATCTTTCTTTATTTATCATTAATTTATATACTGTATACTATGTATATGCTAGTTTATTTTTGGACAAGACAGAATTTCTTCCCCTGATATAAGCTAAATGCTACTCTTAGGCTGTTGATCTTCTATGAATAACAGTTTGTATACAAGTTTTAAAGTTTAGTATATTTTAAAACGATGCTTTTTAATGCAACAACTTATTATCTCTTTAATATTACTTAAATGTATAAAGTATGAAGTCAAGTTTTCTACTTATAGAGCTGGTAGTGTTTTGGTCTTTAGTATTTATGGGAAACTAGTCTTTTGTAGCCATTAATAATATCTTATTAGTTTTCTTGTTATTATTTAGTCAAAGGTTTTAAAACTGTAATTAATACAATTGTTAAATTTAAAAATTATGAGGTCAGCTTGTTAATGCATCTGCCATACTGTATTCAATATTTAAATGACATAATTAATAATAATGTTTCTTTTTAGAATTTCTTTAACACTTTCATAAGAAGCTCTGTTTGTCTAGGATAATAAGTACAAGCAGAAATATTAGGTAAAATTAGTGCAACCCTATGTAATATATTTAAGTATGAATTTTTGCAGAAAGCTTAAGTGTCTATATTATTGTAATGAAATTTATTATGTACAAATATTGTAAAGCTGTGTATATAGAGCTTTTTCCTAATGGGAAATAATCATTGCTGACTTCAGAGTGATAATTTGGGATCTTTTTTTTTTTTTATAAAAACCACATTGTAAACCCAAGGCAGAAGCAGAGACCACAGTCAACACGACTCGCAAAATCATAATGACACGATTGCAAATAAACCATACCACAGGCGGGGATAGAACCCACTCAAAACATTATTGGTGGGATTTTATGTTAACAAAACAAACTGAAGGAGGGGTGTTAATGTTGCAGTTTAAAAACTGTAGTGTAAAGCATCCTTCTGGCAAGACAGTGATGGAGTGAATGATGGTGAAAGTTTTTCTTTTTCGGGCCACCCTGCCTTGGTGGGAATCGGCCAGTGTGATAATAAAAAAAAAAAACTGCACTTTGAGTGGATGGGCTTGCAATATTGGACCCAAGATGGTAATGGATTCTAATATGAAACCTCTGTAATTTTTTTTTAACACGCTGGCTGCCTCCCATCAAAACAGGGTGACCCCAAAATAAAAAAGAAACACTATCATTCACACTATTGCAGTCTTTGCAGAGGCGCACATATATGACAGTTCAGATGTTATTCCAAAAAGCAAATATCTGGAACCCCCTCTTTAAAGTGCAGGCATTGCACTTCCCACCTCAAGTTTGGCTAACTGGTCTCCCCGAATCCCTTCACAAAATATTACCCTGCCCACACTCCAACAGCTTGTCAAGTCCCAAAAACCATTAATCTCCACTCCTATCTAACATGCTCATACATGCCTGCTGTATGTCCAGGCAACTCTCTTAAAACTTATACAAACAAGTTAAACTGCTAAGTTATGCTGATATTGATGAAAAATATTGTTTTGTCCTGTGTACTTGTCAGCTTATATATTGATAAAGGTAGTGTTTCTTAGGGGAAAATTGGTCCTCAGTATAAGACATTACTTTATTATATTATGTTATAACTGAAGAGTATCTGATTTTAATGCCATCTGATAATGTTGACAATTAATAAAAGATCAACAATTGAGTACTGTACTGTACTTAACCTGATAACTTATTCTCAGACAATACAAAATTAGCTGTTAAATTGTAAAGTTTATACTGACACTTTATGCAGACTTTCCATGATTTCTTAACTAACACTTATTTACTACATCAGTTGTAACTACTATTGTTTCAGCTGATGATCTCCCCTCAACACTGTTACTTCTTAACCTTTGCTACCACATCTGCCTGTGTCGAGTAGTGCTGATTGACCCTCGTGGATTTAGCATTTTCCATGTGTTTTTTTTTTAAAGCACCAACCATCTTCCTCTGAGGCAGGGTGACCTAAAAAGAAAAACGAAAGTTTTTTTAAAGAAAAACGAAAATTTTTTTTAAAGAAAAACAAAAGTTTTTCTTTTAAATTTAGTAAATTCTACAGGAGAAGGGGCTACTAGCCCTTTGCTCCTGGCATTTTAGTCACCTCTTACTACATTTACAGCTTATGGAGAAACAGAGATATTTATTTGGAGACATAAATAATGCAAGTCATAGAGAGTGCTTTATATTCTGGACTCGGGCCTGTTGCCTTTGGTTATATGCCAAAATTCTCCTGATGACAAGTTCTTGCCTTACCTGGTGGGGAGAAGGGATTATGATCTTTACTGTTATGGCCATACCAAGTGGGCTTTGGCTGTTAAGATGGCCATGACTTGTAGAGACCAAACTAAATGCTGCCATGTGCATTTGCTGTGCATAGCTGCCCATAAATTCTGTTGTCCCTTGCCTGGTAAAACAGATTACAGGTGGAGTTGGAGCCTACACACTTCTTTGGTATGGAAATAGAATAGAGATCAAGTGGGAAGTTCAGTACTGACCCTGCTTGAATAAACTGGTTGGTGTTGCAACACTTCCCACTTTTTGGTGGGGTTATGTATTGAGCTAATGCCAGGAGAGCAACAATGTGCTGGTACCATTTTGGTCTTGTTGCTGCCATTTACCTAGTTGTTAGTCACTCATGAACACTTCTTTATTAACCCTGCAGACATTTGTTTTTAGTACACAGGGAAGCATACCCTTGATGAACATGGATTATTCCTAATTATTCTATGCCATCTTCAAAGTTTGGTTAGTTTAATATCTCTATTATGCACCCTATACCCATCCTGTGAGTGGCAGTCAAAATATTACAGAGGTACACAGTGGGTCCAGGGACTGGACCACAAAGTTTTGATAGCTACACAAGTTATAATGGCAATAAACTATTTACATGTTTAAATATAAGGTTAATTTATAAATAACCCTTGTAATACTTGACACCAATGCTTTTATTCTTCAAGCAAGTACTGTACTTCTCTCGCTCTCTCTCTCTTCCTGACTATAATCATAAGAAATCTCCACAATGATCAGATATCTCCTACGTGAGGTGTTTGATCCACAGATTTTGTCAGAATTTTTATACTCCATCCCACAGAAACTTTGGACAAACTAGAGACTTACAGAGTCAGCCAAGTAATACTGAGAGCAGTAGGCCTGAAGGTCATGTTTTATACCCAGCAAGCAGCGCTGTATAGCCCTTGAGGCTTAGCGCTTCTTTTTGATTATAATAATAATAATAATAATAATAATAATATACCCAGCAAGATGGTGTATGTATAGTACTGCTTAATGCTGCTATACAAGTGGATAACTTTACAAAACTATGAACTACAGATAACAGAGTATAGTACACAATACACAAATAACCCGCACATAAAAGAGAGAAGCTTACGACGACGTTTCGGTCCGACTTGGACCATTTACAAAGTCACACTAACCAGAAGTGGAGCAAGATGGCTATATATAGGTAGGAAGAGGTGGGGGTAGTAGTAGTAGTAGTACAAGAATGGTAAATAATATCGACAAGATGAAATTAAGACACATGCGCAACACCCGGGCACCTCTATCGTAGACGTTTCGCCATCCAGCCAGCCACTGGATTGCGCATGTGTCTTAATTTCATCTTGTCAGTATTATTTACCATTCTTGTACTACTACTACTACTACTACCCCCATCTCTTCCTGCCTATATATAGCCGTCCTGCTCCACTTCTGGTTAGTGTGACTTTGTAAATGGTCCAAGTCGGACCGAAACGTCGTCATAAGCTTCTCTCTTTTATGTGCGGGTTATTTGTGTATCGTTCCAGTCACGGTATTGTGCCTTTTTTTTGTTATTTAACAGAGTATAGCATTGGAGACATTAAATGTAATAGTGTGGGGTGATCAGTCTTTAACCCGTAAATGGTCCAAGCAGATCTACGTTCACATGTGTAGTGCTACAAAAGTAGATCTAGTTTTTTTTTTTACATATTTTCAAATGTAACAAAAAAAAATTAGATCAAAGTTTTTTTACACATTTTCAAATGTAAAAAAACAAAAAGAATATCTACTTTTTTTACATACTTTCAAATGTTTGTAAAACGTATATATACGTTTGGACCGTTTACGGGTTAAGGTTTGAGGGACTTGCTGCCTAGCAAGGCATAGGGATTAATAACATCAAAACTACTGTCTCCAGTGGTATATATCTTGAGCCACCTTTGCAACTGTTGGCAACAATGTTGGTCTGAGTTAATTCATAAATTATGTTCAGTCATCAGTGTTGTGGTTGGGAGACTACACTCACCCGTCTTCACATTGGTCACGCACATCTCAGTCATGGGTATCTCATGGAGAGGCGCCCAGCTCCACTCTGTGGGAATTGTCAGGTTCCAATTTCAGTTTGCTATATTCTATTAGACTGTCCTGTCTTTCAGTGAGCACATAGAATTTACCTCCAATGTTGTCACCATTCTAATGCCCTTACTTTATCTTCCCTCCTCACTGATGGCTCCACCTCTGACACAGACTCCCTCTTTGACTTTTTGACAGCAAGAGATTTATTACATCAACTTCTATTATGCAGCAGGTGTTTAGGTAACGACATTTCATTCGACTTTATTTCATCATAATGTTGATGAGAATAAATAAATTCTTGGCTGGGGCCACTGTCTGTGTGGAGTTTGCATGATCTCTCTGCATGGGTTTTCTCCAGGTACTCTCGTTTCCTCCAATATTCCAAAGATGTGCATGTTAGGTTAATTTGTATGTCTAAATTGTCTCAGTATGAGTGAGTGTGGGTGTGTGTGTGAGTGCACCCTACGATGGAATGGCATCCTGTCCAGGGTTGGTTCCTGGCTTGTGCCCTGAGCTGCTGGGATAGGCTCCCGCCACCCATGAACCCTGAACTGGAATAAGCGGATTGGAAAATGAATGAATACCAATTATTGTAAAATAAACATTCATAAAGTATATGATAATCATACAAATGCACAGCAATACACAATGTGGTACGAAAGCGCTTAGTGAACGCGCCATATTTGTTATTTGTGTGGTGGTAGGAGGTGTTCCTTACAATTTTCACTTTGCAAACATTTATGCCTTGATTTAACCCTGTAGGAATTTAACTCTTGTTTATATCTATTTATTTATTTATTTATTTCATATATCATATCAATTAGCATATGGTAAAATTGGTTTCATTATACTTCATTTCGCTTAAAGTCGCAGTTTCCAAGAACCTGTTGACTTTAAGTGAGGACTTACTGTACATCCTTTAGCACTTTTCACCGCCCTTACTAACTCTACCTCTGTTATACTCCCCACCCCTCGCTTGTCTATGATTAGGCATAATTACACCTTTTAGCACACCCTACCCTGCAGCACTATATGACCCCTATGGGTTTAGCATTTAGTTTTCTTTCTTTCTTTCAACACACCTGCCATATCCCACCAAGGCAGGGTGGCCCAAAAAGAAAAACTAAAGTTTCTCTTTTAAATTTAGTAATTTACACGGGAGAAGGGGTTACTAGCCCCTTGCTCCCGGCATTTTAGTCGCCTCTTACAACACGCATGGCTTACGGAGAAAGAATTCTGTTCCACTTCCCCATGGAGTTAGCACTTAGTTATGATTATGATAATAATCCAGTGGTATAATCTCCTGTCTTCGGCTGTGGAAGCTGTTGTGTCAGTAAAGACACCCAAATATTGCACATGTCTTATTCATCTGCTAAGAAGGCATGGCTATGGTTGTCTAATATTTTTTTACCAGAAGAGCAAGGGTGTGGAGCATCAAAAGTATTGTATCATCTTGCATTTGTTTTGCAGGGTGTACACAAAAACACTTCCTGATTTCAAGCAGGTATAACATGTAACTTTATTGTAATAATCTTTCATAGTTAGTAGCTACAGACGCAGGATTTCATTCAGTTTCATGTGGTATAGGGTAGCATTAAAGGCACTCAATGTGCGCCCCTTTGGTTGCTCGGCAAACATCAATGCAATAGTCCAGTTCGGTCCAGACACTCTGCAGCATATCTGGTGTCATCATGCAAATTGCTTCAGTGATCGAAATTTTCAGCCCCTCCAGGGTTGCAGGTAGTGGTGGTACTTAAACTGTGCTCTTCATGTACCCCCAAAGAAAGAAGTCACAAACAGTTAGGTCCTGTGAAGTGGTTAATAAGTCAGTAACCCCTGATATGGTATATCTTTTAGTTATATTGCCTTTATATATTTCCAGTGATGTGATGTAGTGGGGCAGCGGACATTGTAACATTATGAGATGGAGCTCTGTATCCTATGATTTAGGGAGATATTTTTTTACAGTAACCATGTGTGTGTAGGTCACCACCTCTTCCATGTAGAAGAGCTTTGGGCAGAACAGCTCCTGGGCACAACCATCCTACCTTGTCTCTGTTCCTTAGCAGTTACTGTTCGTAGTTAGCAGCACAGCCGCACTCGTCACTTTGTCATAATCAAATACTACCATGTTCTCCTGGTAGCCTGCTAGCTTGTCATCTTGAATATGGTCATCACTTCCAGGGGTGCTTTCAGCGTAGCATAAAGGAATAGCATTTCTGCTGTACAGTTCTTTTTCCCAGGAAGGTACATGTATTGAACCCGTAAACGGTCCAAACGTATATATACGTTTTTTCAACATTTGAAAGTATGTAAAAAAGTAGATCTTCT